GAAGGGCAGCCTGTTGAATCTATACACAACCCTATGCGTATTCATATTTAAATATTTCGCACATTCTTCGTCGACAGGAATATGGAGATACGTCTCATATAAATCCAGTTTTGAATAACAGTTTATTATGAATTTCAGGTCAGTTCTGTTCAACTTTCGTATTTATCCGAAGCCTCCCCACGCGGCGGGATGTGGCACAAGGCCGGTTTTTTAACGTTGGGCATTCCGAGCGCATACACACGGGCAAAAATTCCCCGTAGACCCCGCATACACTCTGTTGGGTGGCTGTCTACCTAATGTTCTTCGGCATAGCCTCATTTGGGTTCATCTCTGTTCGGAGGCAGAAAAGTCGACAAGAAGTTCTGTTCAACTTCGGTATTTACTCGAAGACCCCCCCCCCCCCGACAAGGTGAGATGTGGAACAAGGCCGGTTTTTAACGTGGGGCATTCCAAGCGCGTACGCTAGGGCAAAAATTCACCCATTGAACTACCATGCACGGTGTTGGGTGGCTGTTTATCTCTCCAGACGAGACTCTGCCTTCGGCATAATCTTCACTAGATTCTTCCATGCCCAAAGGCAAAAATTTCTACAAGACAGGCTTGACAGGGAACTACCTGCTCAGTTCTGTTCAGCTTCGGTATTTACCCGAAGCCACCCAACAAGGGGGGATGTGACATAAGGCCGGTTTTTAATCTGGGGCATTTCTAGCCAGTAAGGTCATGCAAACGTTCCCCGTACACCCTGTATACACGTGGTTGGGTTTGTCTAACTCCCCAGACTTCATCTCTGTCCGAAGACAAAGAGATTGACAAGAAGTCCTGTTCAACTTCCACTATCTCAGTAAGAGAGCATGCTATTCATTTTTTTAGATCAGTTCATCTTGTTGGGATGCTCTGGTACTCCACAACATCCCCTTTTTTTGAATTTACTACTTCCTCTAGAAGTTGTATTTTTGCCTTTTTGGGTTTATTTGCATAATCTCTCGTCCGGCGGGGGTGGGGGATACACCGTGCATTAATATTCCATCTCAGATAGAAAAAAAATGTTATCTATTGATTTACTTCTTTTTCTATGTGATTTACTTGTCTATATTTTCTTTGATCCTGATTTCTTCAAGAGTTTCATATGGTGTTGAATAGCACGCTTTTTTATTTCCATTTATCTACTTTATGCTGCTATCACAGTTTCCTCTAAAAGATCACATAAAGACAAAATTTAACTGAGCAACCAGAAAAAATTCTTGCTTGTTTTTACACGTCCAACTTGAAATTAATCCGATGTTGAGTAGTCGCCAAATAATTTCTTGCTATATGACTATAAATTTTTACATTCATATACGCAGTCCGTGTTGGTATTAACATTCAAATTTTTCATTGTCAAATGTTGGTATCTGCTGAAAAGTTCGAATCTCTAGTCGTCAAATGTATCGTGAATGGATAAGTCGATATATATATAAAATTAGTAGCAATTTATGAAGAATAGTATAGTACTAACAGCTGAGAACACAGTCTGCTGCAATAGCAGTTAATCGTGAACTTCACCTCGGTTCTGTTTAATTTCCCCTCTCTTAGCAAGAAAGTATACTATTTATGTTTTTAAATCAGTCCATCTTGTGTGTGGGTGTTCTGGTACTCCACAACTCTCAATCACAATCATTTCTCTCTCTCTCCCCCTCTCTCTCTCTCTCTCTCAATCTCATCTCTCTCTCTCAATCTCATTTCTCTCTCTCTCTTTTTCTATCCTATCACACGGTCAATACTCCTCCACCTTCCCCCATCTCTAGAAAAGGATTAGAGGCTCATCCCTTGTTTCCTGTTTAGGAAGGGGTTCTCGGATTCTTACCTTTTCTCTGGCCTTACTAGTAGTGCTGATATGAATCTCTTGTGATGTGGACGGTTTGTGACAATGCATATTCATACTGAGGGTACTGGGTTGGCAGTTTTCTGGTTGTGTTTCCCGACTGGTAGTAAAGAGCCCGAACCCTTGCGTAGAGTCTTGAGGGACTGCATTGATCAACAGTTGAATAAGCTCGTTTTTTTTTTTTTTTCAGAGCCATGTCGCGAATGGAAGAGTGTCCCTACATGCACCTCCAGTAGGCAATCCCGAGGCAAAATTATGTTGCAGTCTGCGCCAGTTCCTTTCTGCCTATGTCACATACGATGACTGTCTGCTACTATTCCATTAGGCCCTTTCCTTACCAACATAACTCAATATGACCATAAACAACCAAAAATACAAACCTAAATCAGCTCAGAAAATCACCTAAACCCTTAAACATTTTCTTCTCAAAGATCCATCGTATTCGTACCAACTTCTGCAGTGTGGAATCCTTCCTCTTCGAAAAGTCTCCTTATAACTATCTCTCTGCGAGACTAAACTTAACTCATCAATCCCTTCCTCTGATTTCTCGATTCTCGGCTACCTTCCTCTCCTTAGATAGGACTCTAAAATCCACATGCATGTCCTGGGAATTTATGGCTGCTGGTTAGGGAACTCTCTTTGGAATCTCCAGACCATTCATAATGTGTCTCTCTTCTTTCTCTACCGTTCCCCTTCCTCTGAAGACTATTGTGTACTTGATAGCATACTCGATAATATAGACAAGATCCGTTTCCAAATATATTTGTGTTCGGTGACTTTAACGCCCACCATACCAGGTGGTTTAAACTGACCTTGCTGGCATCCAAACCCTTATCTTTTCAATCACTCAATCCCTCACGCAAGTGGTTGACTTTTCTACGAGTCTCCCAAGTAACCCATCAGGGTTATTTGGGAGACGCGTAGGAAACTCGATCTCTGTTTTGCCTACATCCTTGAATCTTTTTTCGCTACGTGTCGCTGTCCTCTCGATAACTCTGATCACGCGGTAGTGTCTGTTAATATCTCTTTCCACTTCCCATCAAGCCATGAATCTCTTACTAACAGAATATCTTTCTGTTATCAATACGCAGACTGGGATTCATTCCGTGATTTCCTTCATGACGTCCATTGAAATGTAGTTTTTAATCATCCCGTTCATAAATGTGCATCTGAGGTCACCTCTTGTGCAAAAGCCGATAGCAACAGACGTCTCTTTGTCTCTGTAATGAATGCAAGCATGTCCTTAATGAAGCAAAGTTACTGTTTGCTGATGGAATGAAACAACGTATTGCATTTCTCACGTTTAGTTCTAAAGATTATTGACGGCTCTGCAAGAGTGTGCTGAACAACAGCAAATCCTCAATCCCCTCCGTATTCAATCAATTCGAAGTCCAAACATCCACTGCTGATAAGGCTGAATGCTACTCTCGGAAATTCTCATCCAACTCAACACACGTCTCGTCTGGATTACCCACTCATGATTTCCCGCCTAGAACTGAGGCTCTGCTGAGTGAGATGAGCATAACGCTATCGATGATATTGGACATAATTTATAAATTAAACTCTCATGAAGAAATTGGTGGTAACGGGATACCAACCGTAGTCCTAAATAAATGTGCTCCTGTGCTGGATCCAGTTCTCACCAAACTATACAACTATTGCCTCGCTTATTATTTCTTTCCAGCCTGTTAGAAACCCTCCTCTGTTGTCCCTATTTTTAAGAATTCTGGAGACTCTTCTGACCCATCTAACTACCGTACTATCAGCCTCCTACCACGCTCAGTCAAAGTTTCGAGGCTTTAATTAATGTCGAAAAGTTTAAGCACCTTACATCGCATGATCTACTCTATGACAAACATGTTTTTCGCTTTGCCCGGTCAGCCACTGACGTTCTTACGGCCATAACTCTATTTGTATACCAAGCGGTTGCTCATAACGGCGAACCTTGAGCTGTGGCTCTAGATATCTCAAAGGCGTTTGGCAGGGTTTGGCATGCCGGCGTTCTATGTAAGCTTCGAGGATACGGTATTACAGGACGATTATTTGAGTTAATTCAATCCTTCTTGTCAAACCGTGAAATGAAGGTCGTCCTGAACTGGTTCTCTTCCAGTTCCTTTCTCACGAACGCTGGTGTTCCCCAAGGCTATATCCTGGGTCCTACACTGCTTCTGATCTTCATCAACGACTTTTCTGATGTCATCAGTTGTCAAGTAGGCATCTACTCAGACGACACTGTCATTTAGTTCTGTCTCAATAGCAAATCCGGCATGGTTGATAAAGTTCATTAGTCTTGAAAAGGACTGCCAATCAGTAGTTGACTGTGACAGAGTCCATCCTTCTAATCTACAAATCTACCATTCGACTGTGCATTGAATACTGTTGCCATATATATAGTATGGTGCCCCCGCAGTTCATCTCGAGGTTCTCGACAAAATGTGTCTTGACCTGGCATCTCGACTCCAGTCACTTTCTCAAAGACGTGATGTGACTTCCCTCTGTTTCTTTTCTACAAATATGTCCATGGTATCTGATCTGACGAACTATTTTCAATGGTTACTCCGACTGCATAAATTTAAGCGTGCTACTAGATTGGCATCTCGCTCCCACCCTTTTACTAGTGAGACAGTTAAATGTAACCTCCACTTAGACTCAGCTTCATCTCTCCCACTTCCCAACTGCAGAACTCCCTTCCTCTTACTTGCTTCCCTGATAACTATAATCATCAAAATTTTAAATGTAATGTCAATCGACATATTCTGATGCCTTGATCTCCTTTCTTCTTTTTATCCCTTCTTCAATCCACCCTCTTTCCTCTAACTTTCACTGTCTGTAGCCCCTTGCGTTCTAGTGGCATTCACGCCTTGCTTAGAGTGAAATGCTTAAAAAAAATATATATATATATATATATATATATATATATATATATATATATATATATATAATCTCAATCTACGTTTCTGTGATCATATCACTTGCCTTCAAGGACAGTGAGGCTAGCTTCTCCTTGAGATTTGGAACACCCAGAAAATGTTCAATCAGAGAAGGTTCAACACCAAATCCAAGAACTTTGAATGCCTGATCCTAGATTTGCTTTATGCTAATGGTCTAGAGTTCGTTGTGCACTCGGAAGATGATTTACAACTCATAATGCATCTCTTCTGTGTCGCTTGTGATTCTTTTGGACTGAGAGATAGCCTGAGAAAGACAAAAGTTGTCTTCAAACTTGCATCTGGTGTGCCCTAACGGGAGCCAACAATATTTGTGACAAATACCAATCTAGAAGTTGTTGACACCTTGGAAATACGATATCAAAAGATGGTGATCTGAATGCTGAGCGTTTATGAAGCATTCAGAAGGCAAATGTTGCATTTGGTAAATTGGAGAGTAGCTGTTGTGCTATTTTGAAACATGGACAACATACCAGGGGCATCAAAAATGGCTTGAGCAATTCCACTAAAAACACCCGAGACGCATTCCTGGCATCAAATGGCAGTCTTTGACCCCAGGCACTGCTGTCCTCAAAAGATCTGGAGGCAACAGCATAGAAACAATAATCCTCAACTAGATGCGATGGGCAGGACACGTTGTAAGAATCGGGGAATAACATTATTCATAAACATCTTTTCTACGAGGAACTGGAGACAGAAAGCGTTCATCACACAGTCCAAGGAAGAGGTTTTATATAATCTCAATATTTGATAATCCGAAAGATAATCTGAATACATTGCATATGGATGTGAAGCATTGGGAAGAGCTGGCTTTAAATCGTACAGTGTAGAGGCACAGGGAGGGATGCAACACCTTTGACGACGAATGTCTCGAGCATGCGCAGATCATGCGGTATCTTCCAAGAGACAAGCACTGATTTGCCAACTAATATGCAGTCTTGGAAATGCGGAGTGTGTGGATCGGTGCTTCTGTTGAGGGTAGGTTATATAAACCATCTGGAAGTTCATCATAACAACCAGAAGCAAGCCTACTATGTAGACCTGCCTCATCGTCCCGCTGATATTACCTGTGTTGTTTGCAACAAGGTTTACAGATCATCATCTGGACTGAACAAACACATGGTGATACACAGTAGGGTTGTAAGGCATATCGATTCAATCGGCCCAATGTCATATATGCCTGATATATCTTCGAACAACCAGGGTCTCATAGTCGGAAAGCAGACGTTCTCACCACTCGGCCACGCGCTAATCATGGTCGATTTATCTGGAAAGTGACTTCTTGAGGTTATCGGCATGAAGAGGCGATGCCAGCGTCCGTCACTTTTGGAAAGTGCCTGAAATCCATACCATAGTTTGACCCAATCCTTGTGATGGAAATTGAGTAGACGGGACTATTTGGGCGTCGTGAACCGTTGTACTAGAAGATTCCCAAACAACTTTTCTACGGTGGAACTGAAAACTACAGGGAAAGAAAGCGTACAGAACACAAGCTTAAGAAGAGGTTTAAAGATAATCTGAAGGATAATCTAAATCCATTGCCCGTGGATGCGCAGCATTAGGAAGAATTGTCTTTAAGTCGTAACAAGTGAAAGGTACTTTATAAGGGAGGAATGTCTCGAGCGTGTTCTTCGAAGAGGCACTCACTCTGATTTGTAAATGTGTTGCATGTGTGCGTGCGTATGTGTGTGTGTGTGTGTGTGTGTGTGTGTGTGTGTGTGTGTGTGTGGTATTTAGGAGACAGGCTATGCAAATCATCTAAAAAGTTATCGTAACGACTAGCAGAGACAGCTATACCAGCCTGCCTCATCGACCTGCCGACTGTCTTGTTTGCAACAAATATGGTCTGAGAAGCCACAGGAGCGTTATAAAGCACGCAGATCCAATCAATCGAGTCAAGGATACAGAGTGCATCTGTTATATATGCCTGATACGAATGTTTGTCTCAAGAGTTATTTTAGGAACGTCGAAACGAGGCAGAAGCCATAACTATGTGCGAAGACGGCTCTCATCTGAGTAAAACATGGCACTCATCATATATATATATATATATATATATATATATATATATATATATTGCATACAGCGTCCATAAATATATACGGATATGCGACATAGTCACGGCATCATATGCGTTTATGCATATTGTTACGGCTTTTCGCAATTCACCACCCATACTCACACAATATCTTGCACTTAGCGACCCATCTCTTTTCACCATCTTTCTAACAATATAATAATTAAACTCCCCGCTTCTCACTTTTGGTATGTAGTAGCAGTCGCTGAACGGAAAGACAATTAAGTCAAACTGACGACCACGGTAACAGATGGAAGCAAGAGCAAAAAATAGATTCTCATACACGTGACGAATAACAAAACCAGATACGAACGATCGAGTGGAAAAGATCGACAGGACTCAGTTGGGTGACGAATCTCGAAGGAAATGGAGGGTATATTAAATTCTCTTGTTAACTGACTTTCCGAATTGAAGAGATGGAATGACGACCCCAACTCATATGAAACTCCAACAGATTTAAACGGAAACGACTCTTGTGCGAACAATTCCTCTTTCATGTGTTACAGTCAAACAAGTAAGATCACACGATGAAACGGACTCCAGTTTAACTTAACAATATGCAACTTACATTAAGGGCATAAATGAACGGGGAAACGTGACTGTCACCTAAGAAGCGCATATGTGATAGACTTAATTGGACGAAGGATCCGAAACTCTGCACAGCTAAAACTATGGCTTACACCGCATAGAATCTTCATAACCAAATGTAAGGATTCTGCAGAACCGAAGCTAAATGACCGAATAATGAAAACAACGTTGAAGAACAGATCAAAAAACATCGCTATTTGAGCAAATAGACTGGTTTGAAATTAAAATGGACAACGTGAATCCTAAGAGAAAGAGGGAGAGATTGGAAAAGAGAAAACCTTATTTTAGTTCAGAAGAAAAACTGAGGCTAAGTTTTTATTTCAACTTTTGCCCTCGTAAAATAACGCATGCATATTTCTTCTTTTTTTTAAGCATTACGCCCCGAGCAAGGCGTGAAGCCACTAAGATGCAGGGGGTTGCAGAAGATTTGGAGCAAGAGCAGATAGGAGAGATAGAAGAAAGGATGAGGAGAAGGATAGTGGGTAGATCAAGGTAACTGGAGGTGTCGATTGACATTACATTTGAATAGTTGGAGATTATAGCTCTCAGGGAAACAGTAATTGGGAAAGGGTGTTTTACAGGCGAGATGTGCGAGGTATGAAGCTATTGGAGTAGAAGAGACGGCCACATTTAAAAGTTTCTAAAGTGTAAGGGTGGGAGCGGGATGCCAGCCTCGTAAGGCGCTTGAATTCATGAAGTTTGGGAACCAGTGAAAGCAGCTCATCGGAGCAGTTACTATGAAAGTATTTGTAGAAAAGACAAAGAGAGGCGACGGCGCGTCTGTAAGATTCTACACAGAAATGTATAGCAAACATCTTTCCAAGCATTCTCAGACCTAAATGTTTTTATGTATTGTCTTCTAATTAAATCTTGTTAATTGGTATAATGGCGCTTGGTCACTGTAGGTTATCGTTCAGAAATCGTGTATTCGAACCTGCACTAAATACCACTGTGGAATGGTAAACCTGGACATCTTTTAGACGACGATGCTGTTTTTTTTCTTTTTAAACTTTCTGCTGCGGTAACAATTGATCGTAGCAATATGACTTGAATTTGTATTTGGCGATTATAGTCGGTGTCTCGTAGTGGTCCGTATCGGGTGTGTTACTTCCTTTGTCTCCACGGTTACCTTCAGGCTAATACACTAAATTCGTACTGTCTCTGTTTCTTACTGAAAATCAAATCGGCGGTCTTCATCAAGAGAAAGGATTCCTTATAGTAGTAAACAGTACAACGCATATAGTCTGTATTGCCTATTTTTATTTTCTCCAAATTTCGCCGGCTACTTGTCAGCGACATTGAATGAGAGAAATTCTTCAATCCTAACACTGCAGAAACATACCATACGAGGCAAAGATTCTTCCTAAAGAATCCTAGATGGAGTAACTCTTTTTACTAGCAAATCTTGCCTTGTCGATAGTTGTTGTTAGTCAACTCACGGGCGAATGAAAAGGTATCGCCACATCCGGTTTTTCCCTATTTTTGCGAAACCTGTATCACTAATGTTAATAATAATGTGTATTCCAGTGTATTACTGTTCTCTTCAATGTCACTTACAAGTTTGTAGAGACAGAATTTCATGATTGGCTCCATATTCTCAATTGAAACATTGCTGCTACACAGTCCTAGATAGATAATTGGAAGGATAGATGATTGGGTGGATAGATGATTTGGTGGATAGGTGACTGTGGATAGACCATTGGGTGGATGGATTGTGTGGATAGATGATTGGATTCGTAGATGACTGGACTGTGTGAATAGGTGAGTGGATGGACAGATGACAGTGCGGATAGATAATTGGGTGGATAGATGACTGCATTGTGTAAATAGATGATTGGGTGCATAGATGACTGTGTGGGTAGGTGATTAGGTGAATAGAAGATTGCGGATAGATGATTGGGAAGATAGATGACTGTATGGGTAGGTGATTTGGTGGATAGATGACTGTGTGGATAGATGATTGGGTAGATAGATGATTGGGTGGATAGATGATTGGGTAGATAGATGATTGGGTGGATAGATGATTGGGTGGATAGATGATTGAGTACATAGATGACTATGTGGATTGGGTTGATAGATGATTCTTTGGATGGATAATTGAATGGAAAGGTGATTGGCCTGTGCGTATAGATGATTGGGTGGATAGGTGACTGGGTGGGTAGGTGACTGTGTGGATAGATAATTAGGTCTATCGATTATTCTGTCTATATGAGATAATATATATGATATAATATATGATCGATAATAATTGCAGGTGCAACGATTTAAGTGTGTGTGTGGTTTCTGTTTGTATGCCTATCAAAAGATGCACACCGGTTTGTGATGAATGACATGGATATAGCGTTCGATATTTTGAACCGACACTTCGCGATTTATTTCTTAGTTTTAAAGCTATCTGAAGATCATCAGTTATTTACATGCCTCTCAAGAGATGCCCACCCATTGAAGATGAATGACAAGTATGGCAGATACAGATTATTCGCCGATAGTTGGCGCTGTTCGTTCAAAAACTATTTCTTAGTTTTACCGATATCTGTAGAGTATTAGTCGGGTCTGAGTGGAAAAGATGGACATTTTCGTAGTTATAGACAAATACAGATGGAGAGATTGTGAGTTAAGTATTCGAAAAACTGAGATAAATATTAGCAGATTGAGATAGATATGATGTGGAAGTTAACCAGAGTTGTCTCCCCCTGGACCAGTTATAAAAGAATAAGCAGCACCCTGTTAGCAGATTTGGGTTTTAATTGAATAAAGATTCAAGTAAATATGCCACCTCGTTTTTTTTGTATTTTTTTTTTTTTTTTTTTTTTTTTTTTTTTTTTTGGGTTTTTTCATTACAATAAGGAATCGAATGTGTGGAACGGTTTGAACCACTTAATATATCAAGATAACAAAGAAAAATGCACTGACCTGTTATGCCATATCGCTTCTCCTATATGGCAGTGAATGAAGAAAAGAAATGAAACAAAAGAAATGTCGTTCTACAGGAGC